TCTCTTATACACATCTACCTCCCTCCCTCATCAGTTTTTTGGTCTTGATAGGATGATAAACTAATAATTTTTTTTATGGGGCCTTATGGAGCAAAAACGATCGTCGTCTGATATAGAGACACTTATGTGGAGGTTAAACTTAGCAAGTTTATATTTTTTTTAAAGGAAAAATCTAGTGTAAGCCACTTTGGCCCTTAATGAAATAATAATATAACGTATGATGTTATATTATATGTCATATATGGCACTAACAGGAATAGGTTCATGCTGCAGATGTAACATACTTAAAAAATTTAGCATGTTAATTGTGCATTATGTGGTGGTCTCACATAGCAAGCTGTATTTCTGCGCTATGTTGAGGTCTTGTCATATAACAAGTCTCATTATGAAGATATAAAATTTTATATCTCGATGGTCTTGTTACATTTGAAATCACGCCGGTAAATTAATACATGAATGCGTTAGCATTAGGTTTCAAGGAAATAATTAGGTAGGTTGTTAGCAACATGTTGATGTGATTTTAGCATCATCCCTGTCCCTTAGGGGTTCCGTCTGATCCAGCATCTATATATAGATGTATACTTAATATAGAACAAAATGTAACAAATCTCCTGAGAAATTCCTAACAAGATTGATTGTATTCTCAGAAATACCTTTCATCCATGTAAAAGATTCATTAGCAATTCATGATTGTCAATATAGCCCTGTAGGCTAAAATCCTTGCTGATGTTGATACAGTACTTTGTAAATAGTGTTTAGAACACGTGAGAAAGTTTGGCCTACTTATTGTTACCTCTGTTTGAAGAGAGGCAAAGACCAGCCAAACCAGTCACGCCTCGCAAATCGTATTTTGGAGATAATGACCACAACATGTTGGATGGTAGAAATTTTTGAAATCTATTTTATTGCACTAAACTAATCTTTATATATCTACACATCATACTATGTTGTTTTCCTTAGTTTATTTGTTAAAACAAAGTTTTTTTTAATGATTTAGTGATAGTGTCTGCCTGAGAAATGGCCAAAATCGTCAACTTTGAAGGCTGATTTCTCAAATACTTTTCTTCTTCTTTTCAACTATATAATGAAATATCGGATTTAAATGATTTTTTTTACAAGTTTATAATTTCATTTTACTGCATAACATTGTATTAATAACAAAAAAATAAAGTTGTTTGCGAAGAGTGAATGGTTTGGCTTGCTTGTGAATGTATATTAAATTATTACCTCCGCCAAGAAGGATGTATTCACCACTGTCTGTTTGTTAGCAAGATTACGCAGAAACTAAGGAATTGATGATCTTAAAAGTTAGTGGATAGGTACATTTTGGGAAGAAATGGTCAGGTAAAGTTCATGGAAATTCAATTTTTTTCCTCAAGCAAAAAAGGAAGCAATGTAATCGCACATCATAGACGTCCTGTATATTGTTCGTTATTCAGGTGAGGGCAGAAAATAAAGGAATCACCCATTAGACATGGCCTGCGTATTGTGGAGTGGACTGGTCTAGTTTATATGAACATTTTGGCATGGATGTACAATATATGAATAATTCAAGAGTTTATTTATGATGTAAGTTTATGTTAAGGATCACATCATTTAGGGATTATTGTTGGTTTATTTTGAAAATTTTTGTATTTTTCATTAGAAATTTATGGAGTGTCTGTAATTTCCTTTAGAATATCAGTACATTCAATATACTATACTTACACAGGTAGTACAAACTGCACCAGGAGTGAGAACACTGTATGCTCAATAGTGTCAACTTGACTAATAAATCAGGCCTTGTGTTATTGTATTGGAAGTGACTAAAATCCTCATTGTTTAATATTACTTGCTTACAGTATAGCATTAGGCTCTGTCTATTGAAAATCTTTGTTACTGTATCAAATTGAATTGCCTATTTAAAAATAGTCTCACAGCGGGAGCGCGTGTCTACTTCTTGAAAGCTTGACACATCTATGCTTTCTGTATACCAGATTTTTGTCACTTTTTAGTGAACTTTCTAGGTCTTATCTAGCAGCTTTCTGTGTTGTCAATTCACTTGATGACTTACTGTAACTAGGACGACACAAGTCTTATCTATTATAGCTTTGAAGCCCCTCTCCCTCTAGGGTTTTTTTCAGCATAGGAGTTTTTTCGACACAAACTCGAAGGACGATTCAGGATGCTCAGGGAGAACTCGTACCTACTCGTAGTAGCTCTGAACTCGTGGCACTAATTTTGAACATGTTCAAAATTAGTGCTACGAGTTGACAACTCATAGTAAACTCGAGTAAGTAACTCGTAGAGTACTCAAGATACTTGGCGGTTTTGTAATCCACAAGTTTGATGCGGACTTTAGTACGAGCGCACCAAGTTGGTTACGATCACCAGGAACATTTGAGGCATGTCGTGGCGAAATGGTTAAGTTGTCGCACAGTCCAGTATTGAGTAAATGAGCTATAAAATATGGACCTCACAAAATTCCCTAAAAATCCAAATTTGTTTTTCACTATAGATCAACAGTTTAATGTCTTATTAATCATTTCCCAAAGTATTAGTTCTGGAAGTGGTTAACAAATTGTTTATATAACGTTATCCAAAGATTCACACATCAAACAATTCGATTCCTAGTTCTTATATTACAGATATCCTTAAGTTTATTACTACACTAGACAAGTATTACAATAAAAATATGATTTTTTTATTGTCCTTTGACAATTCAAGAATTGGTTATTTTTTTTATAGTAAGTTATTAACTTTTAGTTGAAAATTTTAATGAGAAAAATTCTTCTTGCCAGTTGACAAGTATTTATGATAATATTATTTTTATATTCTTCGCTAGATTTTAAATTGTTTTGAAAATCAATTTAATTAGCCTCTCTTGTAAAAATCGTTATATACGCAAGAAGTAATTGCTTTGATTTGTATCTAATTTGATTTAGGGCTTTCCAAACTTTACCATATAACTCCACTCAATTTACCTTTATCCTTCTATTTCTTGCCTCCACCAATGAGGTTATGTATCCACTGCTGTCAGTCTTCTGTCTGTCTGCCAGCAAAATTACGCAAAAACTAATAAACGTATCACCCTAAAATTTAGTGGAATTTTACATAATAATCGAAGAAAGACACATTTCAATTTTCAGGGGGGGAAAAAAATCAATTTTTACCCTCAAGCATAAAAACAAGTAATGTGATTGCCCCAGGTATTCAGGCAGCACTCAGGAAAACGATGTGCCTAAATACTTCCTAAATACTACTGACGATTTCATTATTTTCTTGAGGGTATTCTGCAATACTCAAGAAAATAACGTACCATTGAGGGTATGCTGCAGTTTCGCCCATTATACACAGCCTACGTATTGCTTCTACTGTATTTAGGCACATGCGGAGGTATGTACTCATGGAGTGACTGCTCTAGTCTTTTCATTATAAATTGATCTTTATTCATCATTTTCAAGTTTATAAATTTTGTCATTACAGTAGTAGTAAGATAATAAATCCACAATGTGCCCTTTACAAGACATTCAGAATGCTGGTTCTCTTGTCAAAATATACAGTATTTATCAATGCCATTCATTAACTAGTTTATTGCTTTAGTTATTGGCATATGCTGTCTCCATAGTACTGTGCTTGGTAAGTCAGTCGCTGTGACCTTCCATATCCTTATCTATGGTAGAGGCGCTGTACCTCAGCGTGAGCGTCTCCTTGTCTGAGTATGCTCCATAATGACTCCAAAAGTAAACTTTCTTTTTAGATATAATCCTGACACTCATTCTGCTAGTAGTAGATAATAAAAAGCATTAAACATTGGTTAATTACTGATGAATAATCTACATTTAACACGTTCGTTTTATAATCATATGTTTTACTTTACTGTAATCTAGTTATTTCCATTTTTTAACCAAATTTAATTAAAAGAATATTATATTAAGAATTATTATTTTTGTAATGTGTATGCAGATATCATTAAATTTCTTTGGAGGTGTTTATGAGTTATTCATTAATAAATTTATCAATCTAGTCTTGTCATATAATGTTATTATTTATGATATGAACATTTATATGATTATTATACGCTAAGGAGTTGGTTTTTTACCCTTTTTCTTTAAGATGAAAATGAATAAAAAGTGATTGTTTTTTTTTTCTATAGTACAGAATTAATTACTAAATTAGTTTGTAGTAAAATTGATAAATTACTAATTAGCTACAAATGAGCTGTTAATAATGAATGAACTGTTTCCTTGTTACTATAACTATTTGCTGGAATTTTTCTTGGCTATTAAATTATCCAAACCATGACAAGATGCAACTACCATTAATTCATGTCCTATGTTCTATTTAAACTTTAAAATGAGTTGTAGCATTTATGTGTTTACCACTTATACTACTTGTTTACCACTTTGTGTAACATTTTGTTTACTACTTCAAATTTATTTACTGATTTGTTTACCAGTTTGTTTTATGTTTTTTGTATTCCTTTACCATTTCCTCTTCAATCATTGTTTATTACTAGTTTACCATTTTGTTCAATATTTGTTTACAAGTTAATTCTTGTTTATCAGTTTGTAATCTGTGGTACTACTTGCTTTTCACCCTGTTTATTGCTACTTGTCGACATGATGCTTCTTAACCAAAAGGAAAGGTTCTGCACTCTTGGCATAGTAGCTTTGACAGCATTTCCAGTGTTTGGCCTAGCAGGCTTCCATATGTCCTTAGCAACAAGAGGGAGGACTACCTATGAGCAGGTACAGCCTTATTGCATGATTTCATCAAGTGTTTTGTTTTGCCATCTTGTGTTTGCGGATGTTGATTCAGTTTGTGGCAATATCTTTCATTATAACATGTTACTTGATTTAGTTTGTGTAATGTCTGTTATCTAATACATAACTTTATATTTGTCTGTGGCTTTGTCTGTTTTTGTTTTTACAAATTACATTTGAATATTTGATGCTTTTTAATTATCACGGTACAAATCATGAAAGTCATAAGTTATAATTATCATTGTTGTCATCATAAACATTGACATCTTTGTCATCATTGCCTTCACCAACATCGTAATTACTATTATCATTCAGCACTTAGTGGTCCTCTGCAGTGATGGCGCCCGAGATTTTCCCGAGGGAAGAATGTCCAAGGTTACTGACTAGGGTCCACACTCACCTCAGCGCTGCCATGTTTGGGGCTGAGGCCTAGATGACTGGCTACTCTCCCGACCGGTGTCCAGGGTCCCGCTGGCACTGCTTTCTGTGTTCATGCAGATAGCTAACGCTGCCATTCCTGCTGCACTACATGTTGTTGCCTGTTGAATGTCTACGAGCATGTTGAATTTTCATAAACCTGCTGATTGCACTCGGTCACTATGGCCAATGTTGAATTAAGTCTATAGTATAAGAACACAACCACTTATGAAATAAGAGGGGGCTGGTAAAGATTCTTTGTCTTTCATATTGACTTTTGTCACTATATTTTTAAGCACAATAATGTTAACTGTAGGTTGTTTTTCAGGTCCATTTTTGACGATCTTTATCATTAAATTTTCTGTATATGTTACTACATGCTATGATTTTCTTTCCGTAGTATTTTCTTCTCCGGTTTTTTTTTTTTTTCATGTTCTTAAAATATGCTTTTTGTTTAGCTTAGTTCAGCCTTCCATTAATTTCTATGAACAACAACAGTATACAATAATGTCATAATGAGATCTCTATTGAATTCTGCTGTTACTGTATTTTGTCTTATTTCTAGACTTATTTCTCTGTCCTGTTTTTATTCTATAAGTTCACCAACTTGCCATAGTACTATCTGATTGCTATGCAATTTGTGTCTTCTATCAAATGCATGTGCCTGTTGTATAATACCATGGCTTACCTGCAGTTGCCATGGCAGTCATTGAACAATTGTTATGGGATGATGGATTTAGTCTTGTGTGATTTTTATTTGCATATTTAACTTTTTTTTACTTAAAATGGATATAATGATAGATTGGGTGATTTATTGACCCACTGGGGGATGTAAAACCAATAAGAGGAATGTTACTTTACATTTATTGCTTGTTTAAAGTCACTTTGATAGATATTATATACACTCTTAATATGTTAATTAATGGTATAGTAATATCTGTAGATCTGTGTGTGGGATAATGTCAATTAAAAGATATATTTAGACTCTGCATAAACCACCAATCATCCATAATTGGTCATCATTGTAATACCGTACAGTACTGTACATTTATAAGCAATTCTTCTCAAATATTTCAGAGTTTAGATACGGTAATAATAAAAATTGGAAAATTTTCATTTATATGGTGGGAAAAGTATCTCTACCTCTAGATCTTCAAATGTTGACCTATTTAAAATTGATGTATACTAAAAATAATTTTGAATATAATATACAAGTGTTTGGTTATTCAAAGATGATGCAATTTATTCAAAATTCTCAAGCTGTTGGCAGGTATAGTTGAATAAATTTAAGGACCATCATAAAGTAACTAGGCCAAATAGAAAAATATACTTGTTGAAAAATGATTAATTTTAACACTTTTTCGATTACTGATTGATTAGAATTTTTTTTTTAAATGCCCCTCCCCATCTAAAATTTAGTTAAAATGTGATACTAAACAAGTAATTATTTTTATTTGGCCTTATATTCATATGGAAAGTGCTGTTAATCTGATTGTCTAAAATTCACTAATGTAAACATCAGGTTAGATGTGGGGATTTTATATTTGAATTTCTAATAGAACGGTTTGTAGAACAAAGACTTGAGAGCTTTGCATTAATGAGTATCATCTCTGATTCGAGACACAATTACTTTATGTATACTGTGCGTCAATAATTCGCATTATTCCATCTTGCACATCACTTTTGTTAGATATTGAGCACCGCATTATTATGAGACAGTTGATGTTGTCAAATTGCGTATCTGCGTTGCTCACTGTGTCTGTGTATATTATCATTACATCATGATGATGTTGAAATGTTCCTAAGTTTTTAACATATATTATTGAGTATATAACCATAAAAGCTAATTCAAAGAAATTTGTGTTGGAAACTCATATAGATCGGATGCTCATTTTGCTGTATTACCATAAAATTTAATTTCATTATAGGTGGTGAAATATCTTGATTTATGTGGATAAATCAGTCATGTGTACATAATTAAAATCTGTGCCATAGAAATAGGATAGACCCCCTCCCCCTAACTTTGCATCCTGATCCAAGGAATTCTCCCAAACTATTCTGGAAGATACCAAAGGAAATACCCATATGCATGGTGACATTAATTGTAGGCCTAATTGCTGTTTAAACAACTCTGTACCTAAAGTCATTACCTGTAAATTAAAAAAAAAAATACATAGCAAATAATATTGCTTATCTTTTATTTGGAAGTGTCACTCCCTTCTATTTAAAGATTCCCCCACCTCAATTGGAAAATAACCCCTCCCATGTCTTAATCAGAGTTTACATAAAAGTACTACACTACCACATTACAGCCCCTGACACAGTCGGGATGTATATCTGCAATCTATGCCGTAGCCAGGATTTTCAAACAATGCGTGAAAATATCAGGGTGGACCCACAAATTCAAACAATGTTAACACATTTTATGCAAAAATATGAAAAATCTGGACCCGTTTTCTTAATTTTACTCATTTTAAGCTAAATATGAGAAATCTGGACCCATATTTCAAAAATTGGACCCATTTTATGCATAAAATTACATAATTTGGACCCATTTTTAAAAATGTGGACCCATTCTTTGTGGATCCATTAGAAAAATTGTGTGGGACTATCCAAAACTTCCCAATAGCTGGCTACGGCATTGTCTGCATGTAGTAATTTAATGGAAAACAAACTGTTCATACTCAAACCCATATGCCAACATGTTCTGATGGCATATGCACACTGATGGAACACAGAAACTTTTTTAGCAAATAAATAAATTTTAAGTTTTGTTTAGTATAATTGAGTCATTTTGTACAGTATTATAATGTGGTTATGTTGCATACAATTGCATGGTTACTATTTCCTTGACATAATACTAATTAGTCTTGTGATCATCGTCATTGTGTTTTTGACATTTATACCCGTCATTATTCTAAGTGTCTTTCATGCAACCCTGGTCACCAGGGGGCGCACCACTAATGAACAGGTATGTACACCAGCAACGGTCTGCAATAGGTGAGCATGTCGCAATGTGTGCTGCGCTTCGGTATGGGTCAAGCAGTGGTTGTGTACTGTAAGGTACATGCACCTATCCAATTCAATAGTTGTAAAGTGCCAATTTATTAATCTGGTTTCCTATTCTGAGGTGCTTTACTCCTTTGGTAATTAAATTAAACTCATGGTTTCAACTCTTGTACACAACATTCCCAAGAAAAAAAAAAAAAAGAGAAGAATAATCAGACCCAGTGGACCCACAATGCAATGTGGTACAGTTGGATATGAGCAGTAGAGACATGCATTGTCTATTGAGGGCTGTTGCTACTTCACAAATATTCATTCTTAATCATGCATATCTTAAATATATATTTTCTGTTGTTCTGCAAAAAAATTGCTTGTTGCCTGCATCAGTATCAATGCATATTCATTACAAGGATCCATCGTTGTTATTAATTGCGCATTAATTTCAAAGTATGGGTGTTTGTTGGTTAAACTTGAGTGTGGTATGTTAGTAGATCTGGGGTTCTCAACTATATCGCAGTAGGGGCCAAAATTGTTCATTGAATAAATCTTAAGATCCAGGGCAAGAGGTGTACTTCGGCACGTAGCGCCATCCGAGAGCCGTAGGCACGAGCTGGATCAGGGTTGGAAGGGGGGTGTCTTACCCCCTCCCAAATAAGGAATTTTAAAAATTAATAAATCGCTAGACGTTCATACAGGGCATCTTGACCTAAGAAAGTTTGTGTTTTGTAATGCAAAAGTAAAAATGTTATATATCACACAATGGGCCATCAATAGGCCAAATACACTTTTAATAACATATGAACGTAGGCCCTATGTCACCTTCCATTGTTACAATCATGATCTTGCCTGCTTAGTGACTGAAATTAGCCTTTGATGCTTGTGCCAATTGTTTAATATTATTTTTGGGTTCTCTCTCGTGGGCCGCATAACTCGCAATCGTGGACTGGAGATGGCCTGCGGGCGGCCAGTTGAGAACCCCTGTAGTATATGCTGCTTGAGAGTTGACATGAGTGTTGTTTGTTAGTAGATGCTGTAGGTAGGACTGATAATGTTTCTACTTAGTTTTTCTAAGTTGATCTCTGTTTCTTGGATCCGTGTGTGATTTCTGTTGATATAGTGGGAATTATTACTGCATTGTATATCTCCCACTGAATATTCTGTATATAACACATTAACTTCGATTTATAGCCATGTAATATTTATCTGAAACGTAGGTTTCATAACTGTTAAAATATTTAAATTGTGTAGGCGTATCATATCAAGTAGCTACAATGTATAGTGTAAAATGTATGTTTGTGATCTTATGAAATTAGCTTTTTATGCTTGCACATTTTTGAGTTTTATTTGGAAATTCTAAGCAGAAATTATACACAACAATAGTGAATTTGAATATTGGTAATATATGCAGCAAAGCCAGTATTCTGGAAGGAAGCAAATATAGTAACTTGTTTGAATTAGAGAGAAATTATCAGTGAGAGATGAAAATGTATAATTAGCAGGTTACAATATGTGGAAGGTAAATGAGCAGGCAGGGCAAGGATTGAAGAGTGAAGGATAAAAAAAGAAAAAAAGATGAAATATGTAATGTGGAAACTGATACTTCACATGTGCTTAATTATGCATGTTATTTTCAATTCGTTGTCCATATAATGAATTAATGCAAGGTGTTTTATTATGTGTTTGTTTTGACAGGTAACAGGCAAGTTTAGAAGCGGTCATAACCCATTTGATATGGGATGTTGGAATAACTGTGGGGATGTTTTCTGCATTCCTTGGAAGCCAAGGTAAATGTCAGTTTACTGAATATAAGTGTTACTGTTAGCTTATGTGGGGGCTAAGCTGGCTCTTTCCTACCCAC